CTGCCAAGAAGAAAATCACGAAACTCCAAACTCCCATTATTCCAAGATAAAACTAAAAAGCGAAAAGAAAAATATCTAATAAAGCAGTAAATCACTTGGGTTGCCTCCCAAAAAGTGCTTGTTTAACGTCATTAGCTTGACGAACCTGAGGGGGACTCAGCCGGGATCTAGGAAGAAGTGACGGTCGTGCCACGCCTTCGTGTTTTCCAGAAGTGGTAGCATGGGAGGCTTGGTGAGAAGGTTGGCATAGTGGATTCGGGTCGGGTGGCGATGTTCTTCTTGAAGCGGGCTCGGGCACGAGCAATCCCCAACTCTAAACGCAGAGCTTTTCCCACACGAGCTCTATCGTCGACCTCCGGAAGTATAAGCTCATCTGTGGAGCAAGTCGAACTGAATGCTCCCCACTTCGTATCACAGTGTAAAGGCCCCGAAGACGGATGCTCCAACTCGGAAGTGGGAGGAGGGACTTGAGAATCGAGCCCGTGGATCTCCTCCTCTAAAATACCATCAAGCTCATCATCATCTTCTTCGTCCTCACGCATTTGCTTCATCGTGCGGGCTTGGGTATCAAGCATGAGGTGGGGGTCGTCGACTTTTGCCTCGATTGAGCTGGTATGTGCTGCAAGAATCTCCATTTGTGTGCTCAGTCGAGCACACCCGAGCTCAATCTCCACATCTTGAGTGGACTGGGCAGAAATGCGAGCAAGGATGAGGCCGAGCTTCTCATCGAACGACAAAGTAACCTCCCGAGGCTCGTCTCTATGTGTAGGTTCGCCTTGAGCGGTGGGCTCGGGAGTGACATTGGTAACTCGGTCCTCTAAGGCTTGCACGCGCTCCACTAGGTTCTCGATCCTGGACTCAAGATTGCTCTTACGGGCTGCTTGGGATGTCAAAAGAGTGAGGACCTGGTCGAGCTTGGCGTTATATTCCGAGGAATCCTCGAGGGACTCACATGACTGCTCAACAGGCCTGGACTCCCACTGCTGCTCGTAAGGATACGACCAAATCTGGCCATTGCCCCAAGAATCGTAGAATGGAGGTGGCTGGTTCAATTGGGCACACCAAGTTGTTGTTTCTTCTTCCAGAGCTAGCCGGGATATTGCGAAATCATAGATACGGTCGAGCTTCTCGTTGAACGCATGGGACTCAGAATATTGCTCGACCGGGAGGGGGTCCCAGTACTGCTCGGAAGAGTAGGGATAAGACTGAACGTGGTACCCGGTGTGGTAGCTCGGCTCGTGGACCCAAGATTGGGTGTGCGAATAGGGGAGCACACGGTTGTAGCTCATACTACCTGCACACCAAAGCAAAACGACCACGCGTAGCCACGATAAGACAAGAAAAAGAAAGCAGAAACAAGAAAGACAAACCGAAAAACAAATATGCACAAAAGAGAAAACAAAAAAAAACACGAAAATCAAGAAAATAAGAGAAACACGGAAAATAAAGTCAATACCAAGACTAAATATCCTACTTGCCCTCCCCGGCAACGGCGCCAAATTTGTTGTAGCACAAATTGTTATTTTTACCGAGTATCGAATCGAAACATTCGTTCCCCGGGTCGATCTCACGAGGAAGGAGGTTTGGAATTTAGTTCTGATATCGATAACACATAAAAGCAAAGAAAATCCTAAACATACTAATCAAATAAGGATGGATGAATTATCAGCTAAGAAAGAACATAAAAAATAGTAATCTACCTAAGAAATACGAACGAAACAATGAAAAAGAAGCTAGGGAGTCGGGGATAATTAATTCAAGTTCTAGCAAAACCGGGCAATCAATTGTTCGATTCGAGATTGACACTCTCGCTTAGACATCTAGCAGTTCGCTCCCAATAACTCTTCGTAACAAACGATTGAACATAGACGAACAAGTTCGAGCATACGACACAGGCCAATTATCCCAATCCCAATAATTTTTCGTAACAAGGGACGGGTCATTGACAAGTGCGTATTCCAATCTAAAACACGTAGATTAGTCAATTACGACATCTTCTACCTCATGTGAACCTAAGTCTACGACTTCTCCCCTTTCGGTTCAAAAAGTCGCTAATTTAACTAGAAGAGTGTTAATCGACTAATCACATAGAATCAACGAAACCCTAACTTGACTAATCAACATTCAATTGTTACCAATTGCAAGATCGAAGTGTCACTCTTCGATTATATCAATAAATCAAGCAAGAATATATCAATCCCTAATCGAAACAACTCACATAAGAAAGAACAATTTCAAGCCCGAGAGATGCACGTAAAACAAGAACAATCATTCTCCTATCCCTAACGATAAGATTAACTACGTAAATTCAGTCCAACACACATAATCAATTCTCCCAATTCAACCATTATTCATGAATTAAACATAAGAGAAAAGAAACTTACGATTAATCTCAAATCCAAGTGTTGAATATCAATTACAAGCTTAATCTCAAAAGCAAGAACAATTTCTAGATGAAAAATGAAAAAGAAAGATAAAGAAGAAGAAAAATGATGGAGAAGAAGAAGAGGGGAAGGAGAAGGGAGTTTTTGTTCGTGTTTTCTCACCCTAGGTTCGTCCCCAGGAGGGGGAGAATGCTCCCGAACGATTCTAAAATCTGCTATTATAATTGCTGAAAACGCGAGCTCCGCGGCCGCGACCATCCTCCGCGGCCGCGACTTTTTTGTGCTGAAGCTTTTTGTTCGCCGCGGCCCGCGGTGATGAAATCTGCACTGCACGACTTTACGGGTTTTGCTCGTTCGGGTTCGTTTTAACCCAGAATTGAGTTTCGTTTTTTTCTACGCGTCGCTAACGAACCCCTCTTTGTAATGGTGTCAGCTTCCCCAAAAAATTCCCAAAAACCTATTCTCCCGAAGCTCTCGACCTACACACAAAAAATGAAAACACAAACGGAAGACTACCGAAAAAAACATAAGAATTACTGGGGCATTCAAGACAACACAAAACACACGATAAATGACAAAATGAGCCTAAAACCAACTAAATGACTCGAAATAGGGGAAAAAGAATGAGAAAATAACAACAAAAAATGCAACAAAAATGGGACAAACAATGTTGATCTACGATCATCTTTCTCATAATCTTCAATGATGGATTCGTCTCGTAATCTCCAACAATAGATTCGTCTTTGCCTATGAATTAATTGTTTCTCTCTCCCGCATCTCTCGTCTTTCCATAAAGCCCTTGATGTTGAGAACTTTATTTCGTATGAGACGGGAGAGAGGGGCATGTAGTAATATATATAGGAGGAGACCTACAATCATATTCCTACTAACATTCCCCATGTTCTAACCTAACTTAATGTCCAAGTCAAAAATCACAAATTGAAATCTTTAATATTAGAACATTAATAATCTATTAAATATATATTCACCTTAATTAAGTTTGACTATTAATTCAATTAGGTCTAACTAATTATATGGTCCACAATAATTGAATAA